AAATTTCCCTTGAAATTCTACCCCACGGAGATAACAACTGTTAATGGCGTCTACCTTGCCAGTGGGTTACATATTAAACAAGAGAGGATCACCTTAGGAGCGGACTGTGTGGGTTGTTTTTCTCGCTTTAACATTGTATCCTTTGCGTCAATATGTAAAGATCGCCCTGTCTTTCACAACACCTGCCTGGTATCCATAACACCTCTGAGTTCGCATACACTCATTTAACAAAAACCCTTTGATGATCTAGGTTGTTTGTAATTTTTCAATACAATGACCATTCTTGTTCATACAACTTTGCACAACTGCACCATTATTTTCTTAAAATAAATTTAGAGGAGGGCAGCACGCATGTACATTTAAAATTTCCATACCCATCTCCAAATTACCTTCCAGCAGGCTGCACCAGTTTCAGCTTCCATCAACAGAATGCAAAGGTGCCTGTTTCCCCAGAGCCTTGCCAACAACTGGCTATTGCAAATCTTTCTAATCCTGTCAATCTAAGTGAAAAATGAGATCTCATTTTCATTTGCTTATCTGTAATTATTAGTGAGGTTGAACATTTGAATATGAATTTAGGCCATTTGCCTGTCTTGTATGCGTGCTTCTTTATGCCTTTGACTCATTTTGTATTAGGCTTGTAATTATCTTATTTATTTCTAAATAATCCATGGTTTAATAATATTGCTCTTTCTCCATCGTGTTGCGAACATCTTTTCCATTTTGTCCTTTGGCTTTTAGCTATGTTGTTGGTTTGCTTTGCCATACAGAGATTTTACATTTTTGTGTCAAATTTCTCAATCTTTTCCTTTATGGTTTTTGTCGTTGGCATAGTAATGAGAAAGCAGATTGTCACATTAAAATTGTTAAAAAATTCTTCAGTTTTCTCTGTTGCTTTGTAGTTTAACTTTTTTCATTAAAATTGTATCCTTTTCTGCTTCTTTTTGATTAGATGGTCAATATGTGATTACAAGCTAGTCACGACCTTAGAAATCAGGACTGTTACCTGATGAAGGTGTGTTCCTTCAGACTTTTAATGCGTTTACACTCATATGTTCGCATGGAGATTCACTCACACTTGTTTAACATAAATGGTGTCATTCTATACATGTTACTTGCAACCTGCTTTGTCTTTGAACATTGGTTAAACATTTCCTGGTCAGTACCTATGGACTGACCTCTTTCTTTTCTGCCGGCTGCGTGAGAGCCTGTTGGATTAATGTACCATCATTATGTTCGTCTTCAATCCATCTGAATTTTGTGAGAGTAAAGTGAATTACGGATATAACTTACTTTTTCCCCAATAATTTTCCAACTCTCTTGACACCATGTGTTGAACAGCCCATCTTTCCTCTACTGACTTGAAATGTTAATTCACCATTGAATGAACACGAGATCGACCGTGTTGGGAGATGGACGTAGTGACGTGCTGAGGAGCGTATGAAGGCGTGCCCTTCTTCTGCTGTACCAGCAGTACCAGCTGCTCTGGCATTCCTATTTCTTCCCTGGCGTTGTAGCTTGCTCTGCACAGACATAAAGGATTGACCAATATTCCCTCAATGTTTCATGTCCAGGCACACAGAAATCTTGATTTTGAAATGAGACCATTTCATCATCATCATCAGCAGCAGCAGCAGCATCCTCATCCTTTATAAGGTCGTGGTAGCCCTGCCAGTTATCTCCCTCTCCCTTGAGTTCCTGGAGCTGTGTGTGGCCTTAGGTACCAGGTGGCTCAGGGAAGACCCTGATCAGGAAAGTTCCCTCCTGGGAATCTGGACTAGGAATATCAGAGACAGAAACAACTGGTTTTGGCTTTGCTTTTGCAAAGCGCTCCAGTGGTAGAAACGAGATGATCTGGGGTGGTCCTTCGTGAATCTGTTTTAATTTAATTGAATTCAATTTTAAAAATTGTTATTCTTTTTCACTTACATTGTAAAGGATACGAATGGACAGCAGATGAACAGTGTGTCTGGAAGGGTCCTGGAAGCTCCCTGCGGAGCTGGGGTGCACCACCCTCCCAGCAGGCGAATGTACTCAGCAATTCGGAAACCTGTTGTCATTTTAATCCTTGCATATTTATATTGATGGGTATCAGAATAAATAAAACTCACACGTGAGAGCCAAAGGCTAAAGTGGGTCTTTAAGTTAACAAAAGGGAAGCAACTCTAAGAAGAGCCCTGTACTTGAGTAGACGTGGCAAAAATGCTCAGGTGGTTTGAGGATGATTGAAGTTTGGGAAATCCTAAATTAGACAATAATATTATTAGTCAAGAGTGCCCTCAGCTGCGAGGAACACAAACCTCACTCAAAGTGCCTGAAAAACCCAGAAGTGAAGTTTTTTTGGTTTTGTTATTTTACACGCAATGTCCACTAATGTTGTTTCAGGGGCTCAGTGATGTCCAAGGGTGAAAGAGCTCTTTGTGAGGCCGGTGGCCTTTTCCTCATGGTCCCATGATGGCTGCTGCAGCTCTGGCTATCACAGCCAAAAAGAAGAAAAAGAAGAGGTGGCACCAGGCAGCATCTTTGGCTTTTGTCTGGAAAAGCAAGAGTTGTCCCAGATTTCCCAGCAGTCTTCTCCTTAAGCCTCACTAGCCCAGATTACATGCATGGCCACTGCCGGGTGGAAAGGAGGCTAGGAAGGCAGACCACAGATTGTTGTAATTGGCTCAGACCATCCCCATCAAACTGAAGTCCTCTTATGGAGGAAGGAAGGGGAATGGGTAGTGGATAGACAACTGCAGTGTCTGCCATGTGGGAATGTGTGGACCCGCAGGGAGAAGCAGAGACAGGAGACCAGATGGCCCCAGAGAGAACGCTGAGGTGGGAGCAATGACAGGCTTTCTGCTCCGATCCCTGAGTGACAAACTGTGCTTCACTGCCTGTTCTCGCGAGTTGGGGAGATTGCCTGTTGTATCGTTTCCATGAACACGGCTTTGACTTGAGCTAGTGGGAGTGGGTTTCTACTCTTTACAGCCCGGAACAGAGACTTTAAGGTGTATCTTCTCATGTGTTCTTTTTGTTTGTTTGTTTGCAGGGGAAGATTTGCCCTAAGATAACATCTGCCGGTCTTCCTTCTCCCCTCCCCCCTACCCTGCAAAAGCCCCAGGACATAGTTGTGTACAGTTGTAAGTTCTTCTGGCTATTCTCTGTGAGCTGCTGCCACAGCATGGCTACTGACAGACGAGTGGTGTGGTTCTGCGCCCAAGAACTGAACCCCAGCCGCTGAAGCAGAGCGTGCCAAACTTAACCACTAGGCCATGAGGGCTGGCTCTCATTTGTTCTTTATAGCAGTTATTATTATCCATATTTTACACAAGAGGGAAAAGAAGCTCTGAGAGATTATGTTGCCCAACTTCATGTGATTCTAACCCAGGTTTTCCGAGGACTAGCTTATTCTTTGTGCCATCTTTAGGAGGACCATTCTTAAAGGGCAAGTGTTTATTCCCTAAACAGCGTCCAGAGGACAAAGGGATAAATGCATGAGAGACGGCATTTCCTCTGAGGCCTGCCGATGTCACCCGTCGGCTCTGTCCCCGATGGAAGGCGGGAGGCAGGAGGCAGCTTGGCTCTGTCAGGCATTGGAGTTCCGGAGTCCTAGCGGGTGTTTAGGTTTCTGCTTGTCTATCTCCGAGCTTGATGCGTGTAATTTATTGTGCTGATTCCACGTGGTTGGAAGATGTACCTGAGGCATTCAAGTTACAGATCTGTGTGAGCAGCAGAGGAAAAAATAAGCGTGTTTGGGAGCTGTCGCCCTCCCCCTCCTCATGCCATAGTCTCTCCCTCCGTGACCTCGGCCAGCGGTGACTTTTGCCGCCGCCAAGACAGCGCCGGCTCTCAGGGCGTTGATTCATCCCGGTCCAGCAGAAGTCCTTGTCTCCTCTCCCTGAGCCTGACCTTTCTCCTGCATTCCCTGTCTTGGTAAATGGTGCGGCCGTCTACACAGCCATGCCAGGCAGTCATCGCCCACATTATGTAGATTCTCTCTCCTACGTCACGCTGTAATACGCCTCTCCCCTTCCCCGAGTTCTCAGTTCAGGCGTTCCTTCCCCTCAGAGGATGGAAGCTGCGATCTCCTGTTTTCCTGACTCAGGGTTTTCCAAGGTGGTTGGGAAACCTGGGGTGCTGGTTAGTCATCTAGATTCCCAGGCCCTTCCCCTAGACTCTGATCTGATAGGCCTGGGGCGGGGCCTGGAATCATATGCTTAACAAGTGCCCCGGGCAGTTTTTGCCAGCAAGGGGAGCCCTGGTCCCTAGCTGGTCTTCCTGCCTCAGGCCTCTCTCCTGTCACTCTAACTCTGCTCCGCTGCAGAAGTACCTTCCTAAAACGTGCCAGTGGCTCTTTGTCAGCAGCACAAAACCCAAACTCTATAGCATGACAAACAGGGTGTGAGTGGCCACCGTCTCGCTCTCCAGTCTCATTTCCTGCCTTCCCTGGGCTCTGATAATACAAACTGTTTGCCAAATCTGAGAATCCCATTGCTTTTTTATTGCTCAGTGCCTTTGCATATGTTGTTCTTTCTGCCTGGACAGCCCTCCTTCCCCACGTCTACCTGGAAAACTCCTATTCATCCTGCAAGGCCCAACTCAAGCGATCCCTCTTCCCCAAAGCTTGGCCACCCTTGGAGCTTGAGCATATGTTTACTACTGCAGTTACCTCATTGACTTCTCTATGGCAGCAACTCTGCTTAGCCCACAGGTACAAGTAGCATTTGTAGTAGCAGGAGGTGCTTATTAAAATGCTTGTTGAATAAAGACGGCTTTTTCTATGTGAGAGGAAATTTAGTGAAAGCAAATAGCTCAATTTCCAGGAAAATAATGTTCCTGTTCTTTCCCCTGTGAGTACAAACTCTATAGAGTTTCTTACTGTGAAAATCAGTCATCACTCTATCTGTTGACATTTACAAAGTCAATATATTAAACTGTGTATTGATAATCAACATTTATCTGGTGCCCACTGGGTACTAGAAACTTTGCATTCACCATTTCACTTCATTCTACAGATGAGGAAACTGAGGCACAGAGGTGAATTAATTGGCCCAACATCACAAAGCCGGTAAGTGGTGGGATTGGTACAATGCTATTCTGCCTCCTCCAGAGATTTATTTAACAACCTGTAGGATGTGCCGTGTGTGCCCAGGATAAGATATCCCTGTACCGAAGGGTGCAGGTAACGTAAATGAGTGAAGCAGTGTGGGCACGAGGCAATAAGGAGGGGTAGGAAGTGTGGCAAACTGGAGGGTGTAAACCTTATTTAAAGGAGTCAGCCAAGACTGAGTGCCAGCTGATCCCCCTCCCCAACATTTTATCATGAAAAACTTCAAACATGCAGCAACGTTGAAAGAATCTTACCGTGTACGCCTGTATACTTACTACTTAGATTCTACCATGAACATTTACTTGCTTTATCTCCTATCTATCCATCTAGCCGTCCCTATATTCTTAATCCATTTTATTTTTTGATGTGTTTCAAAGTAAATTGCAGACCTCAGTACACTTCTCCCTAAATACATCAGTATGTACAGCATTAACTAGATATGAATATTTGTTAATAGTTTTTTCTTTTGATGTGAAATTTATATGCAATGAAATGCATAAATCTTCTCTTTTTTTTTAAGATTGGCACCTGAGCTAACAACTGTTGCCGATTTTTTTTTTTCGCTTTTTCTCCACAAATCCCCCCAGCACATAGTTGTATATTTTAGTTGCAGGTCCTTCTAGTTGTGGCATACGGGATGCCACCTCAATGTGGCCTGAAGAGCGGTGCCATGTCTGCACCCAGGATCCAAACCTGCAAAACTCTGGGCTGCTGACGTGGAGTGCACGAACTTAACCACTCGGCCACAGGGCCGGCCCTGAAATGCACAAATCTTAAGTGAATATTCACTAAGTTTTGACCAATACACGCTCCTGTATCATCCCAATTCCCATCAATATAGGAAAGATTACCAGCATCCCTGAAAATCCCCTCATGTTGCTCCCCGGTTTGTCTCTGCTTCCAACCCCCTGAGTAACCACTGTTCTTGTCATTTTCCATCACGGTTAGTTTTGTCTCTTCTAGAACTTCATAGAAGTGGAATCACACAGAATGTGCTCTTTTGTGTAAGAATTCTTTCACTGAGCATAACGTTTTAAAGATATATCCATGTTGTTGAGTATATCAGTAGTTCATTCCCTTTGCTCCCCCCTCTTAGCTGAGGAAGATTCGCCCTGAGCCAATCTGTGTCAATCTTCCTCCATTTTGTATGTGAGTTGCTGCCAAGCATGGCCGCCAATGAATGGTGTAGGTCTGCGCCCAGGATCTAAACCCAGGCTGCTGAAGTAGAACACACCAAACTTAACCACTAGGTCATGGGGCTGGCCCATTTCATTTCTCTTTATTACTGAAGTATTTATTACTGAAGTATAGTATTACTGAAGTATTCCACTGTATGAACACGCCACAGTTTGTTTATCCATCCTTCTGTGGGTGGACACCTGGGCTGTTTCTAGTTTTTGGCTCTTAGGGATAAAGCTATTAATATTTTTGTACAAATATTTTCGTGAACATATATTTTCACATCTCTTGGGTATATTCTTAGGAGTAGAATTGCTGGGTCATAGAGTAGGAGTATGTCTAGTTTTGTAAGAAACCACCAGACCTTTTGCCAAAGGTGTTGTTCCTCTTACATTCCCACCAACAGTGCACGCGGGTTCCAGTTAATCCACATCCTCCCCAGCGCTGGTGTTACTGTTTTTTATTTTGGGTCATTCTGGTGATGGTGTAGGGGTATTTCCATCGTGGTTCTCGTTTGCATTTCCCTGATGACCAAGGACGTTGACCACTTCTTCTTGTACGTATTGGCCATCTGTATATCTTCTTTTGTGAAGTGTCTGTTCAAATCTTTTGCCCATTTTTGGGGAATTGTCTTTTATTATTTCTTATTCTTGTTGGAGTTCTTTGTATATCCCGGATGCCAATCCTTTGTCAGATATATGTTTTGCAAGTATTTTGTTCTAGGTTGAGATTAATCTATTACGTTTTGTAAGGGTATCTTTTTGATGAGCAGACATTTTTAATTCTGATGAAGTCTAATTTCTCAAAAAGTTTTAATGGTTATTGCTTTCTTTGATCTAAGAAAGTTTTGCTTACCGCCCAAGTCATGAAGATATTCATCCAAGTTTTCCTCTAAAAGCTTTACAGTTTTAGCTTTTACATTTAGGCCTATGATTCATCTCAAAAAAATGTTTGGGTATGATGTGGGGTCAAGATTCATGTTTTTCCCATTCCTAGTTGTTCCAGTACCCTTTCGTTGATAAAATTTTTGTTTCCCCATTTGACTGGGTTGGCACTTTTGTTGAAAATCAAATGACGGCGTGAGTGTCACTCTCTTCCTAGGATCTCTTTTCTGTACAGACTTGAGCCAATTTTTTGCCATGGGCTCAGTATTGCCAGATTTTCCAAATTTTAGAAGACAGCATAGAAACCCAGATTGTTTTAAACGAGGAAAAGTCAAAACTTTAAAAAAGTTGAAAACCAATTCCAGTTTAAATGAACAAATTACAAAGAAACCAACCTGTGCAGCCAAGGTAACTGACCTGCAGGCGCTGGGGTGGGTGATGCTGGCCCTGGGAGAGGGGTTTCGGCAGGAAGCTGGAGGGATGCACGTGCAAGTCAAGGGCCTTATTTTAAGTGAAAGAAGATGGGACTATTCCCGGGGCGAGGAGGTGGGTCTCAATAGTCAAAACCAGGCAGGGAGAATTCACTGGCAGGGCGAGACGAAAACCCAGAGCGTGCGCTTCCCTTGGTGCCTGGGGGAGCTGGGGTATTTGGAATTGCATCTGGAAATGGTACAGGCAGAGGGGGCCGAGTGGGGGATGAGGAGTGGCCAAGAGGCCCTGGATGGCAGTGGAGGGACTGAGAGCGTGGGGATCTAGGCAGATCAGTGACAGGAAAGAGACAGGGACCGAGAGAGTCCACAGCGAGCTGATCTGGAGTCAGTGGGAGTGGAGGGAACTAAGATAAGTGACAAGTGAAGATGTCTCCTGGAAGTGGCTGAAGGCCCCCTTGGCTCTGGGTGGAAGCTGACACAGAGCAGCCAGAAGACACACATCCGCAGATGTCAGAGCTTACGGAGTGTCCTCAGAGTGTCCACATTCCCCCCACCCGCAGGCTTCAGTAATTAGTTTTTAACATTTTAAGATCATATTTTCCAGTGAAAATTTGTAACGGGAACCACATCACATGTTTCAAAAAGAAGGCATCTTAAAAAGTAGTAATGGAAAGTCCTCTCCCCACCTGTCCCCCATCTGCCGGCTCCCACCTCCGGCCCTTCCACCACCAGGGAGCCGTTCGCACAGCGTGTTTTTACGGTGGCCAAGCATGCCAGGCTGCCAGCCGTGTCTGTCAGACAGAATGTTGCTTAAACTGGCTGGGCCACACGGAGCTCGCACAGCTGACTGCACGGAAGCGAAAATAAGCAAGGCTGCATTCAAGGCAGATTGAAGTTTGTTGGAACTTGCTAGAACCTTGCCTCGGTTCTTGCCTTGGAGGAAATTCTTCTATTCAAACCATGACGTGGTGCTTGTTACAGACTGAATACTTGTGTCCCCTCAAAATTCATATTTTTGTTTTTTGAAAAATAAAATACTGCAATGGAGATCATTTCTTGTGATTACATTTTAGTAGAATTAGAAAAAAGGAACAAAAATGGAAGGATAAATCAGAAGTCCTTGCCAGACACCAAATTTGCCGGAACCATCAAATTCATCTGCTGAAGCCCTAACCCTCAATGTGAGGGTATCTGGAGGTGGGGCATGTGGGAGGCAGTTGGGCTCAGAGGAGGTCATGAGGGGGAGGCCCCCATATGGGGCTGGTGTCCTTGTAACAAGAGGAAGGGCCCAGAGCTCTCTCTGCTATGTGAGGGCAGAGCAAGAAGACGGACGTCTGCACGCCGGGAGGTGGGCCCTCACCAAGATCCCAGCCATGCTGGCACCCCCCCAGACTTCCAGCCTCCAGAGCAGTGAGAAATAAATACCTGCCGTCCAAGCCACCCAGTCTACCATATTTTGTGATGGCAGCCTGGGCTGATGAAGAACAAAAAGTGAGCTGTGAGAGAACAGTGAAAAGATTTTCAGTTCTCTGAAATTTAATTTTGATTGCTTGTAACTGCTTCGCTGTATTTTAATCGCGCTGTATTTGGAAGTGTGGGTTCCCACCGTGAGGCTGAGAGCCGCTGGTCTGGAGGAAAGGCCTGTGGAGGAAGGGCAGTGACCACAGCGACAGGGCTATTAAGCACTTGAAGCCTGTGACAAGCAACAAGCCTGTGATTGACGTGCGACCACAGGGGTGATGAACTTTGCTTGTCTCAAACTGTGCGCGGGAACTTTGTCTCAAACTGCGCGCACGCTCTGGCCATTGCTAACCTCTCATCTGGGAAGACCTGAAGGGGAGAACGAAGGTATGTGAAAGGGTTTGCAAACCTTAAAGGGTGGGGCGAGGCTCTAGATGTCGCTGCCTAACCCGACTTCTGGGGGTAGAGCCCGCTTCACCGGGGTTATTTCCCTGTCCGCCCGCCCGCCCTTGTTTGCTTTGATTTGAAGGTAATGCTGCCCTCTCCTGGACTGATCTTGCAAATACAGCCCCTGGCCACCAGGTGTAGATTTTTTGTCGTCCTTGCTTGATCTCAGGTGTTGTCAGTACCGCTATCATGCATCGCAAGTCATTTCTTACAGCGCTGGCGGCATCAATTTTCCCTCCAGTGCACTTTCCCAGAGGCCGGAGATCAACAGAAGCCAAGTCACTTGTGGGTCTCCCAGTCTGTAGAGATAGAATCCATCTTCCTTTCCTTTGCTTTTCTTTCTTCAACAACTTTTTTTTTCCTTTTGCTTTTTGGTGAGGAAGATTGGCTCTGAGCTAACATCTGTTGCCAATCTTCCTCTCTTTTTTTTCTCCCCAAAGCCTCAATACATGGTCGTATATCCTAGTTGTAGGTCATTCTAGTTCTTCTATGTGGGACACTGCCAAAGCATGTCTTGATGAGCGGTGAGTATCCGTGCCCAGGACGTGAACCGGCGAACCCCGAGCAGCAGAAGTGGAGCATGCAAACTTAACTACGCAACCAGGCAGGCCCCTTCTTCGAGGACTTTTTACGGCACCCTCCTTGCCATGCTGTCTCCCAGGCACTTGAGAAACAGTGATTAAAATGATAAAGATCTCTGCCCTGTGAAGCTTATATTTCTAGAGAGGAGAGAGAGAAAAAACCCTAGTGTACAGTATGTTAGGAAGTACGAGTGCGGTGGGAAGAGGAAGATGTTTAAAATACAGCATCAAAAGGGACAGCAAGAACGCTAGGGCGGGTGCTAGTGTGAATAGGTGGATGGGGGGCCTCGGTGAGAAGGTGGCATTTGAGAAAACACTCCGAGGAGGTGAGGGAGGCACCTGTGGGAATATTTATGGGAGAGCACTCCAAGAAGAGCAAACCGCAGAGGCAGGGTCCTGAGCCTGGAGGCCCGTATGGCTGGAGAGGAGCTCTAAGGGGCACGGTAGGAGGATACAGTCAGAGGATGCCGTGGGCTGAATTGTGCCCCTCCCTTGTGTGTTGAAGTCCTAACCCCCAGTACATCAGAATGGGGCCTTATTTGGAGGAAGTCAAATACCATATGATTTCACTCCTAAGTGGAGGATAAAAACAACAACAACAACAAACACAGACATAGAGACTAATTGTCAGTTACCAGCGGGGAAGGGGGGAGGGCAAAAGGACACACCACACATGTGTACGGGGACGGATGGTAATTAGTCTTTGGGTGGTGTACAAGATATTTTATTAAAGAGAAAAGGAAAAAACAAGAATGGGACCGTATTTGGAAAGAGGGTCGTTGCAGATGTAATCGGTTAAGATGGGGTCATTAGAGGGAGCCTTAATGCAATATGACTAGTGTCCTTATCACAGGGGAAGCTTGGCCACGGACACAGGCACACAAGGAGGACGCTACGTGAAGATGAAGGCGGGGACTGAGGTGACACTCCTACAACAGAGGGACACCAAAGATGGCCAGCAAACCCCAGAAGCCAGGGGAGAGGCGTGGAACAGATGCTCCCTCGCAGCCCTCACAAGGAACCAACTCAGCTGACACCCCGATCTTGGCCTTCTAGCCTCCAGAACCGCGAGACAGTAAATCTGTGTTGTTGAAGCCATCAAGTTTGTGGTGTTTTGTCGTGGGGCTCTAGAGGACCAGCACAGAAGGATAATGAGGTGGGCCGGGGCGGGGCTGGAGGAGCGGTGGAGAAGGCCTTGAAAGCTATGTTAAGGATTCTAGCTTTTTCTGAATTCACTTTTTTTTGGGATTAAGTGGGATATATGCCCCCAGTGCGAGCATTATTCAATATTAGAAAACCATTAATATAATTCACAGGCTAAAATATCGAAGAAAAAAAGTCATATGCCTTCTATCTTCATATATCTTCATAGGCCTTTGTCAAAATTCAATAACTATTCATGATTTAAAAAATAAAATTCAGGGCCGGCCCCGTGGCCGAGTAGTTAAGTTCTCACGCTCCGCTTTGGCGGCCCAGGGTTTTGCCGGTTCGGATCCTGGGTGCAGACATGGCACGGCTCATCAGGCCACGCTGAGGCGGCGTCCCACATGCCACAACTAGAAGGACCCACAACTAAAAATACACAACCATGTACCAGGGGGCTTTGGGGAGAAAAAGGAAAAATAAAATCTTAAAAAAAAACCCAAAACTCAATAAAATAAAATAGGTAACAACTTTAAAGACAAGTATTAACTAAACTCCCAATTTTATTTGGATTTCACCATTATCTCCATTTCTTGTTTCCATGTCTTATTTCACCATTACCAGTTTTCCCATGATCTCCTCTTCCTGTACCCGGATCCAGCCCGGGGGACTGCAGTCATTCAGTGGATAGGTCTCCCCAGTCTCCTGAGGCCTGGGAGGGTTTTGCTCAGCCTCCCCTTGTTTTTCACGGCCTTGGTGGTGTGGAGGCGTGCTGGCGGGGTCCTGTAGAGCGCCCCCGTCTGGGCTTGTCGGGTGTTTTCTCATGGTAGATGGGTGGAGGGCCTATGACAGAGGTGGGTGCCCTTCTCATCACGTGTACGGGGGGCGCATGAAACCCACACAGCATCCCTGGTGGTGTCAGCCTTCCTCACTTGGTTAAGGCGGTGTTTGCCAGATTTCTCCACCACGAAGTTACTTAGAACGCACTTAAAAAAATTAAAGCAGCGAAATTCATTCTTTGGGACATGGAGCGTAGTGCTCTGACTGAGAAGGTAAAAGGATCAGTCTGGCTGGCACGATGCGCATGGACCGCAGAGAGGAGGGGCAGACGCAGGGAAGTCTGGGGGTCGCTACAGGCACCTGGGTGAGAAGGGACGGTGGCGGGGCCGGGGCAGCAGCAGGGCAGGCGAGGAGCAATAGGACTCGGAGTTTATTCCAGCAGAGTCCGCAGAATTTTCTGGTAGATTGAACGTTGGGTGTAAGGGATAAAGAGCTGTCGACAACGAGTCCACGAATTTTGGCTTGAGCTGTTGGAAGGAAGAAGTCGCCACCAACAGAGCTAAGATAAAAGTTCCAACCTGCCGTTTACCTTCCCTCCACTCCTTCAACATTTCATCCATCTAACAGATATTTATTTGGTGTCAGGGCTGGCTGCGTAATTTTCAGGACCCGGCGCAAAATGAAAACGGAGGGCCTCTGTTGAAAAAGCAGGGGAAAAGCTTGTTTCTTTTTCTTCCTTGGTCTTTCTCTTAAGGGGACCAGTGTTTTTTATTTGTTGTTTAATGTTGTGCTCCCTGAGGCATGAGATGCTCTTGGGATGGGGGAGTGGAGGGCTGAGCCCCCTGTCCCGGGGAGGCAACAAGAGGGGGGACTGCACATGAGCTGAACTCCAAGCTCCATTGTTCTGTCAGACTTCATTCGTGAGACACAAAGTCCAACACAAAATTATTAACAGTTTCAAGGAGGTGACTGCCGGGCATGACACCCGAGTGCAGGGCTCTCCTGAGCGCCAGGCCCCGTGCGACTGCACCCGTCACACGCCTGCTCCCTGTTAGGTGTCTACTGGTGTGTGTCACACACTTTTCAGGCCCTGCGGATGCAAAATAGAATCCTTTACAGAGGGGCAAGGAGAAAAGGAAGGGGTGCTGTCTGAATCACTATTCTGTGTCACAGTCCAGCGGGAAAGACGCCTGAAGACGAACGTCATACAGTCTGAAAACTCCGACAGCAGGGGACTGGGTTGGGGCACGGGAGCTGGACAGGCAGATCTGAGTGAGGAGAGGGAAAATGACCATTGGAGAGTTACTTATTAATTTTTAATGAAAACGGCTAAATACCTGTTTTTTTTTCTGATTGCAAAAGTAATGCTCATTTTAGAAGTTGGGCAACGTCAAAAGATAGAAGCAAAAATGCAAATATCAGTAAGCCCAGCACCACGAGATAACCACTGCTGACATTTTCATCCTCTCTCCCCGGTGTCTTCCCCGTGCACCTGCGTACACACCTTTATATCAAAGGTTCTCATACGGAACATTCAGCTTGTGAGCCTTTGTTTCTGCTCGGTATTCTAGTATAGATACATTCCCACAGCACTAATTGTGGCTACAGATTACTGTGTTTAATAGAAGCACAGTGTTCCATTTTATAAATCTACTATAATTTGGATAATAGTTTTTAGAAGGACATTATAAACGGCCCTGGGATGAACTTTGCCCTCCCTCCCTCTCTCTCCTCGCATGAAGTGGGATCACGGGGTCAGAGAGTCTGCGGTGTTTAGTGTGTGTGGTACGTATTCCCCCAACAGGACCCTGGGGGGCGTGTATAAAGACAGCTAAAAGTGATGGAACATTTATTATCTGCCAGATACTGTGTTAAGCACTTGACATGTGTTAACTCATTGATTCTCATCCCAATCCTATGAGCTAGGTCCTCCTTTTATACCCATTTTACAGATGAGAAAACTGAGGCACAGAGTGACTATCTACGCTTCCTAAGGGCACACACTGGCCGTGGGCAGAGCCGGGATTTGCCCTGAGGTGGTTTGGTCCTAGAGCCCGCGACCTTATCCCATTTCATCACCACACGGCTCGTGAGGTAAACATTATTATTCCCATTTTTATGGATGAAGATCTTTCAATTCACCTTGAGGAACTTGCCCAATGTCATAAATGAATAAAGGAGGGCCAGTATTTGAATCCTGGTCTGTCTGACTGCAAAGCAGGGATCTCTGGGTCCCTCATGAGGATTTCTGAATTCATCTGGGAGAGCGTCCTCAGATGGGTTCCCATGTCGCTTTTCAAGGTTCCTGTCTGGCCTCCACCAGAGCTTGGTGAGCAGGGCTGGGAGGTCCACACCAGCCCTCCTGGGTCACCCGTCTGTCAAGTCCTGCCACATCCTGACCACTGCAGCCTGGACCCTGTGACGCGCTGACATCCCTCCCTTCTCCTCTCAGCCTAGGTCACTTTTGGTTTCCAGAACTCCCTCAGTTGGGCAGAGGTGGGTTGTGGGGAACAGGTCATCTCAATAGAGATAATGCACTGGCTCGCATAACTGAGGGTGCCGAGAGATGTCCTCTGGGCACCTGCCTCCAGGACTCCGGTGCCGTTTCTCTGCCACCATCCACACGCCAGTTTCTGTCCTTGGACGGGTTTGCCGTTTATGGTGGCAAATGGCTTCCAGCAGCAAGACGACTATGCACTTGCTTTCCTGCAGTCATCAAACAACCTGAACCTGGCTCGGAGAGGGTCATCTTAGGTCACATACTCACCCCCAGACCTGTCACTGTGCCGATGGGCATGGGGACCGGGGAGAGGTGTGAGCTCTCTCCTCCATCTCTCTGGTCTCTGCTTTGGTCCCCAGTGGGTCTTCTGCAGGGATGTGAGGGGATGCTGATGCTGGCATCAAAGCTGCCACTGGGACACAGCAGACATACTTACAGCCATGCCGTGCCGTTCACACGCTCTTGCTTAGAAGCTGCCATTTAAAAACACAGTGGCAAGGAGAGGCCTCTGGGTTTGCCAGCGGACTGGCATTCAGGCTGCACGTGTCACAACAATCTCTGGTGCTGGATGTTCTGCACGGAATGGGGAGATGCTTTCCCATTAGGAACGTCATGGATCTGTTGACGAGGGAGCCGTTGTAAGTGGGAGGTGTGGTATGAAAGACATGTGGGGCGGGTGAACTCGCTGGCACATTTTCAAGTGGGTGAAATTTTATTCCAAGCTCATCTCTAGGTGCCTTTTCCCCCTCCTTCTGTGAAATGCTCTTTCCTACCACGAGGGGAAAGAGTCTTTCCAACTCTTGTCATCCAGATTATCTTCCCACTGGAGACCTACGCTGCTGCGGTTGCCACCCCCACCGGCACCCGGAGGGCTGCTCCCCTTTACTCCTCCAGCTTGAGGCTGGACCAGACCCTTCTCCAAACCTCAGTCATTCGTTGAAATAGACTGGAATGCTGAGCCGCCTTGACTGAGGGCTTAGGAAAAGCAGAAGGGAGTTACACACAAAGAGGAGCTCCAAACGAGGGATCAGATGGGGCTGCCCCAGCCCTGTGCTTTTGCAGTGGGTCCCCTGCAAGGACTTTCCTGTCCAGCCACTGCTGCCCCCTTGTGGCAGACACGCACTTCCCCATCGCCTCCCTTTGCGCTGGTGCACACGCAGGCGTTTTGCAGCCCAGGCCCCAGACAGTCTGTTTTCTCCTGTGGCTCCAGTCACTATTTTACGCCCCAGGAGCCTCCGGGTCCCTGGGTGATTCACAGAGGGAATGTCCACGCCCTTCGGCGACTACCCCGTCTGCAAGTCCTTTCGAGTCTCGGCATCCGATCACAGCAGTCCAACAAGCAAAGCATGGGCAACCTGAGGGCAAGTGTCTCCTCAGACATCCTGCTCCCAGTTATCCATGATCTGAGAGCCCAGGGGGAGAGCATGACAGCTTAAAAAATATGCTCGCGGTGGCAGAACTGTAAGCGCCAGAGGGGTGATAAATCTGGCCTTTGTGTTACTAGGGGTGGATTTTATACCTGAACAGATTTGCATTGACTTTAAACAATACAGGAGGATTGGGAAAGAACGTCGGCAGACACAGCAGGCTGGCGGCCGGGCGGGTGGGGGGTGGGGGAGCCTTCAGGGGCACCTTGTGTGCGACCGTGTGGCTGTGGCTGGAAGTGGCCGAC